GCTTTCCCCTCGGCGGGCCCTGGGAGGAGAGAAGAGCCGGGCTGTGCAGGGGTTGTGCCTTTCTCATGCGAATAGTGCAGCGCCGAACCTGGGCTGGGCTCCCGGTGGAGCCGGGCGAGGGGTGGGGGCACCCCGCGGTCCAGCCAGGAGCTGTCTGGGCCCTTGCAGCCCCCTGCGCAGCAGCAGCCTTCTGCCCTTCGCAGCCCAGTCCGGCAGCACTGGGTGGGTTGTTCCCTGCCCAGCATGTCTGTCAACTGCAGAGGTTCCATTTTCAGTCTTAAAGGTGTAATATAAACAAAATATATTATTAACACCTTCATAATCATCTATCCTGGCAGAGGAATGACTTATAATGAAAGCCATTCCATTTGCTGGCACCTCATTTAACATTAACCAGGTCTGGAGCATTCCCGTGAGGAGAGCATGCAGAGACTGAACGTGAGTGACCTGCTCCCACAGCAGACCTCTGCCGCAGCTGCCTGGCCTGGGCAGCTGAGTAGGGGGCTCAGAGTCGTGCCTCAGGATGCAGGGCCTTTGCCTCTAGTGAACAGTCACTCTGATAAATGTCTCTGCAACAGAAGCCCACTTGGAGCTGTGAATTCAGCTCCTGAAATTCAAGCTCAGGAAACGCTGAGGCTCTGTGCTGGTACGCAGCAGTTCGGAAAGGTTTGAGCTCACATCTTGGGAAATGCTGGAGGCCACGTGGCTGGTGCAGCTTCCCTAAAGGGTGATTTGGACCTGTGGCAGCAGAGCGGGCAGTGTCCTCATGCCTAGTGCTGGCTGGGGAGGGGACTCTGAGACAGTTGCATCTTGGTCTTGCTTTAACAGCTTTGTCCTCTGGACAAAGGCTTAGCTGAACTGGTGGTGGGGATTTGTCCCTAAAGGCTGCTGCTCGCCTGGCACTGCTGTGTGGGGAGGTAACCCAGAGCTCTTGGGGCTTGTGGATGCAGCACTCCAAAAAGCTGGGATTAATTTCCTCGTCATTCTGTGAAAGATGTTCTTGGCTGTCCCTGCAGAAAGCAGCATGCACCACAGTGTTGCTGGTTCTGTGGGGAGGGTTTACAGTGAGCCCTCTGAGACAAGTGTGATGCTGAAATCACAACTGAGTCTTGGCAGTGTTCATCTCTGTTTAAAGCTAGAGCTGGCTGGGGTTGTGGGAGCCCCTTGCAGACCAGATCGTGGGTTTGCATGCATATTTGCTTTCCTGGTTTGTAATGTGCTATTGTTGGATGGAGGGTGCCCATGTGAGAAGGCTCATTATCTCTCAGAACAGCTAATAAGGAACAAATGAAGATTTAACACTGTGTTGGTATAGATGAAACAGCACATTTCAGTCCCCTCCCTGAGAGCAGCATCTCTGAGTCACAGTGCCAAGCACCTGAGAGGTTGCCAGCTGATAAGAAAGAGGAGCTGCTCATGGATGTATCTGCCTCCGAGTTTCAGACAACTGCATGGATTTTCTTTAAGTTGGTGGTGGTTTGTGGATGTTTTTTTTTTTTTTTTTGGCTTGCTCCAAATTTCTCTCTTTAATCACAAGCAGATGGACATAGGTCCTGTTTCTTGCAAACCTGGGTGCCAAGCAGGAGAATTACTCATACGGTAAAGGAAGGCTGGGTCTGCAGACACACAAGCCCTGGGGGGAGGTGTGTGTGTGTTTGGAAGTGCCAGACTGTGGGTCTCTGGGGTGTCTTGCTAGAATATCTGAAAGGTGTTGTGTGCTCAGAATCAAGAAAAATGAAGATCTGGAGCTGAGGGCTTTTGTGTGTGTGTATGTGTTTTTTTTGTTGTTGTTGTTGTTGTTGTTGTTGTTGTTTTTGTTTGGTTTTTTTTTTTTAAATTGTTATACTCAATGAAAAAGTAACAGATACAAAAACTAGAAGAATAATCCCCCAAACAGAATTTCCTTATTCAGTAGAGACACCTCCAAATAAAGCTGGAGATTACCTAAGCTTGGAGTCCAGCAGCTCTCCTGCTCTGCTGGACAGCACTGATGGTCAGTCTCCATCAGTCTTCTGGAGACTTCAGCAGCCATGGCTGTGAGTGCTGGCTGTTGGCCACTGCCAGAGCAGGTGGTGAGTTGATCTACCAGCAAAAGTGTCAGGGGCTTCTCCTGCCCTTTGGAGTTGGAGCAGAAAGTTAGTATGAAGGCAGTTTTGCTCTCATTAAGAAAATTAGGTTCTTGACCTAGTCCATCTCTTCCCTCAGTTCCTCCTGCCAGCACAGGGGTCTTTCCTCCCGCTTGGTGGAGAGAAGGTCCCAGGTGGTGGGAGCATGATTCCTGGCAGCAGGGTGGGGCCGGTGGTGGTTCTGTGGGGTAACTGAGAGGCTGTGCTCTGCTGAGTCCTTGCGCTGCAGGATCTCCACTGAGGAGATGCCTGGCAGCTGAGGGGAGCAGCAGGTTGCTATGATACAGTTTGCTGTGGCGATGTCTGTGCTGAATGGAGCCAAAAACACCTCTACAAAAGGAGCATTCCTGGACTGGGAGGGGGTAGATTTATCTGCACTGTTTATTTAAAGCTAAGGACCTGCAGAGAGGATGTATGTGGGAATGCTTTCCTCCAGCGTGTGCTGGGGGCCCCTGTCTGGAGGCAGATACCCTTATGTGCACGGAGGAGAGGGCATGGCTCGGACAAAGGCCCCAGCAAATCCAGGCACGCAGGTTAGTGCTGGATTGCACATCCCACGGTAAACCCACACCAGGCACGAGACTGGGAACTCCCTTCAAAGCAGAGCTCAGCACTGTTAAGCCGGGTGCTGCCTTCGAAAGCGGCCTTGTCCTCAGCAGGAGCTGGGTCACCTTGCTGTGCTGCAGGAGCACGGGAGGCAGCAGTGCACTGGTGCCAGCTGCGGACTGAAGGCGCATGAACCTGAAGCAAGGTCAGAAATCTCCACACCTGAGGCACAGGGTTCCCCTGACTCACTGTGCTTCCTTGTGCACCAGCCTGCATGTCTTGTCCCCAGAGCTGGCCAAGGCACTGCAGGGACTGGCTCACTTCTATGCAGGGAACATGAATTTCCCTCTAGGAAGAGATCTAGGCTCTGCAGAGATCAGATTCTGTTTCTTCTGTGCTGGATCCCAACTACTTCTCTTCCCAGTGATTTTGCAGGGACAGAGACCCAACCCAGGCTGTGGCCTCTCTTATTGGCACGCAGAGCTGTGCTGGAGTGGCTGTAGCCTGTTCTGTGCTGTACATCATTTGTGAGCCCCTGTTGCAGACAGGAGCCAGGGTCAGAGCCCCTGTGGAGAATCAGTCTATTCTTCTCTCACACTTACCCCAGGCAGACTCCCATCCTCCCGGAAACAAGCCACTATCATCCATAATTCATCGCGTGCTGAATTTCATCAGGAAGCCATCTGACACCCGGGCTGGGTGCTCCACCTTCCTCCCAGGGTGGGACAGTGCTGGGTCCAGGCTGCTGAGGGGCCATGGCAGGAAGCATGTCCGGTTTCCTTGGCCTCAGGGTGGACAATCCTTCTCTCTGAGGAGGCAGATTCAACAAGGACTCTGGTGTCTTTGCTTCCCCTTTTCATAAATAAACATCTGCTTCTTATCCCTCCAGGAAGTGGAGCCCTTGTAAAGCCCAATATAGAACCGAAACAGTGTTTTTAAGTAGCAATGAGCTGATCGCTCCATTACTGTTTGCTGAGGCATCTACAATTGCACATAGAATGCACTTCAAATAAAAACATTGTGGGGCAATTACTTTAATGCCAGAAATTTGCATTGTAGGGGTATGCATGCATGTGCACATGTGTGTGCAACAGAAGCTGTGCAGGGTTCAGGCTAGGCTCTCTGCCTGCTCCCTGAGAAATCCTGCAGAATACAGGACTCATCCCTCCAATTTATAGCTTGCTCCCTGAGAAATCCTGTCACATCTTTTACGTACCAAAAGGAACCTGTCTTCCAGCACAAATCCAGAGCAAAAGGCAATTTTGTTTTTACTTGTCTTAAATTTTTACTATCTATGTGAGCCATCTTTCCTGTATAAAGATAGCAAGAGAGGTTAAAAAAACCCAGCAGCAGCATTCCCGGTCTCCTCTCAGCCACACCTTTCCACCATTAGTGGTACAGCAACAGCATAACAAGTAATAGGATACACATGCAAGTGGCAGAGAGAGCCACGTGCTGCTGTACAGTATCACAGCCCTTCCAAACTCCCTTTTTTGCAGTGAGCCTGTGTGCCCTGGCAGCACAGCTGCACTGCCTCTTACTTGCCAGATACTTACTAGGGAGGGATAGGGGTGCAAGACTTGCAGTTCCTGCCCCCCTGCAAAAGGGTAAATGTAAGAGCACAAGAACAAAACCTCTGACTTCCATGCCTAAGTGAAGGGACCAAATATACTTTGCAAACCAAATTCTGCTAGTCTGGTCACTTGGCAAAAGCTTGGGTCAACATCCTTTATCTCTGACAGAGCAGTTTGCATCATGTGGCAATGTCTCCAGTTCTTACTGGAGCTAAATACCTCTGCCTAACAGAGTGAGCTGGGGGGTCGTAGTCTGACCATTTGGGTAATAAGCCAGTGGGACGAGAATTTCCGCTTACCGCTCTCCTCCCTCTCCTCCCGGCAGGCTCAGCATACTATGATAATGTCCGTCCCCTGGCTTACCCAGACTCGGACGCCGTGCTCATCTGCTTTGACATCAGTCGCCCAGAGACCCTGGACAGTGTGCTGAAGAAGGTGAGTGCCTCATGTGCTCTCCAGCTGGGCAGGAGGGGTCCTCTGCATCAGCACCGGCAGCTGCCCTGGGGTCCCAGTTCCCTGCTCCGTGAGGCTGTCATCAGGGCTAAAATCTTTGGCCCTGTGGCAAAGCCTTGGCTGGAGTTTGCTGCTCAGATGAGGATGGAGCTGCTGCTGATCTCTATGTGGTCCGTGCAGAAAGCCAGATATTTCCACTTGAAAGGAGCCCAGTGAATGGTGTAGCTTGCAGCATGTGTCTGTGGGGAGGGGGTCCGTGTGCACACACACATACAAATGTGGGGACAGAGAAATGTAACACATGTTCTGTTTTTCACAAAGACCCTGGAAAGTGTTGTGCATTTCTCCTTAGTATAATCACCAGCGAGCGTGCTATGGGTTGCTTGCAGCAGTTGAGAAGTGGCCCCTGGTGCCTGCTTCCATGCAAGCAGAGAGCTCAGTATTTTGGCTGTCGCCTCAGTTCGGCATCTGCACAGTAAAAACCACAGCAGCCAGTTCCCTATAGCCTGACAAGAATAATGAGCTGTGGCACTGAATTTCAAGTTCATGAATGAATAAAATGAGACAGCACAATGCCACTGGACTGGGTAGCATGCAGGGCCCTGAATACCATCTGCCTTGGCAGAGCTAACTGGCTGGGCTCTCTGTTAGTAGCTGAGGTTTTACTACCTGCAGGTCAGCACCTTTCAGCAAAGTAAATATTTCCATCTGGCTGGTCCGGCAGGTCCCAGAGAGACCCACAGGGCTGGGGATTTGCTGTGGAGCACCACTGGCCGGCCTCCTACCAAGTCCCTGCCTGCCATGCTCTGAGGGATTAGGTAGCACCCAGTGAGAGGTTCCCATGCAAGGCTTTCCTCTGAGATAGCATGTCAGCAACTCAGGATGCTGCTCAGGGGAGAGGGTAAATGGCCTCCTGGCCACTTGCATCCCTCGGTCCTGGCCGTACCTTGCTTCCTTCCATGAAATTCAGGGACCTGTAGTTTCAGTGAGCTCTCACCGTTGTGCAGCAAAGCTGAGAGAGCTCACTGGCAGCTGCACCGTGTCCCAGGGGCGAGTCTTGACTGGGATCTCATTTGTGAAGCTCTCTGAGACACTGAGGCGTGAAAAGCACTACAGAATAGTGATTCCTGTAGCTGTTCCCCCCAAGGAGCCCCAGGCTGCTGGGGCTGGACTGGCCACTGTCTCAACAAGTCACATTGTATGGACTGCCCTTTTGGCCTCTCCACATTTTGCCAAATATTGTGCTGAAGCAAGTGCCTCTTACTCAGCTGCTGGGAGGGCTGAGAAGTGGGTCTGTGTCTTAGAAGTGTCCTGGTAAGGGGACAAAGACCCTTCAGATAACTTGGTCAATGGCTCAGTGTTCTCCCAAAGCAGGTCCCGGGTACCAAGCGTGCTGGGTGGAGGGAGGCTTGTTTCATGTGGACTGAAAGAATTCACTGCTTAGCTTGGGAGTCAGCAGAATAATAATGCAAACAAATCACACCTTAATGAGATGCAAACCCATCAATAATCAGCTGGGGTTGGAATTTATTTGTGTCTCTGCACTCTCTTCATGTGAGTCTGCACTGCTCAGTGCACAATCTTCCCTGTGCAGCCTCACAGATACTTTGGATACTGGGTTGGTTTTTTTTTGATATGGTGACTTTAAAATAAACCCCAAATCACAGGGGATTTCTTAACCGCTTCTGTGTAGATGCTTTGTTTCATTTGGTGCAGGCTTGCAGCCTAGGGAGGTGAGGAAAATTCCTCAGACACCATGAAGTTGAAATCGGTTTTAGCTTTTCATATCAGGCAAATAAGGAAAATAACACTCCCTATTCAATCCTCGGGCAAAAATGCTAATTCAGCAGAGGAAATCTTTGTTATTGCTGCCCTTCTGAAGCCTGGGCTGCCCGTACAGCGTGAAGGGAAGGAGCCATCTGAGAGAAGAGAAACAAGGAGCTCTTCATTTCATGCGAAGCAGGTTTCTGTGGGGTGGTGTCTTTGTTCTGACAAGTCTTGATAGTGCAGCAAATCTTAGGCTCCCTAAGGTGTCAGTCATGTGAGAAGGAGTTGCACTTCTCTCCATAGACCAGGGAAGAAACCCCTTAACCCTGGTAAGAACAGACACTATAGCTCAATCCCTTTGAGGATTTTCATCCTTCAGATAATTGTTTGAATTCCAGCTCCAAAAGAACTGCATCATCCTCCTCTTGGACAGGGTTCTTGGCCTGGTTGGAAAGGGGCTGGGAGGGATGAGCTGAGACCTGTGACTGCCTTTGTTGTTCCAACTTTGACCTTTTGGTAGCTGCCTGCTGCCAAAATTAAACTTGATGTGGAAGTGCTGCTGCTGGGCCTCTTGAAGGGTCTTGTGCGCCAGCAACTCCTGAGCACCTTCTCCCTCTTGTATCCTGTGCAGTGGCAAGGGGAAACTCAGGAGTTCTGCCCCAATGCGAAGATTGTGCTGGTTGGCTGCAAGCTGGACATGAGGACAGACTTAAACACGCTCCGGGAGCTCTCCAAGCAGCGCCTCATCCCTGTGACGCACGAGCAGGTGAGCTCCAGCAGCTGTCCCTGTAGGGTGCAGGGAGCTGAGGCAGGGACTTTTCTGCAGGACCTACTAGTACAGGGAAGCTCAGCAGCAAATGACCCGCTGTGGCCAGGTGTTGGTCTGAACCTGGTTTGTCTTGGCACATGGACTCTGAGCTGCTCATACTTACACCACGCTTTTCCTCAGCTCTGGCAGACCTTGGCTTATTCATGATGTGCTGCTAGTTAGTAGCTGAGAAGTCCTTTCTCAAGAGTGGTGGAGATGACTGCTTTGACAAGTGGGACTGGCTAAAGGGAAGTGTTACGCTTCTGCATCTCTGAGTTCAGTGCAGCTCTTTCTGCTCGGAGTGACTCTCCTGCTCAGGTTCTGTGTTGGGGCAACACTGCTGGTGGGGGGCAAGCCACAGCTGGAAGGCCTGAGGGTCTGCTGCTAGGCTGCTGCAGCCATCAGTAGACCCAGCAGTGTCTCCAGGCTGGCCCAGGGGCCCAGTCTCTGTGGTGCAGTGCAGCAGGGGTGGCTGTTTCTGACTCCGTGTTGGGCAGACCAGGTCCCAGATGACTGTCCTGGTGAGAGGGGCTGTCCAGGCCCTCAGCTGCAGGGGTGGCACCGTGTTAGTGAGGAAGTCCAAGTGATTCAGAGTCCAGCACCTGGTAGCACTGTCTGCTTGGGAGGCCACCCTCACATCTGGTGCTCTCGCAGAAGCTTGCACTTTATTTACAGAGGTGATGGGGAGACACTGTGCGAGAGCTGCTGCTGGCCGTGCCCCAGCGCTCTGACAGGGCTGCCAGCTCAGACAGGGCTGACGGGTGAGAGGACGCTCCGTGCAGAGAGCTGGTGTCGTAACCGTCTTCCCTCTTCCTTCCACTCTCTCTGGGCCGCAGGGCAGCGCGCTGGCGCGGCAGATCGGGGCAGTGGCCTATGCAGAGTGCTCCTCCAAGGTCTCGGAGAACAGCGTGCGGGACGTGTTTCATGTCACCACACTTGCCTCGGTCAACAGGGTGCACAAGAACTTGAAGCGCAGCAACTCCAAACGGGGACTGAAGCGGGCATCACAGTTGCCTGGCAGGACAGACTTCCTGAATGACACAGAGATCAGGAAAGACCGAGCCAAGAGCTGCTCCATCATGTGAAAAACAGGCTGTAAATAATGTGTGTATGTTGTCCATTTTGTACAGTAACTGGCTGAGACAAGGGCATGGTGCTGGCTGCAGGAGCCAGCCTGCTTTTCCAAAACCTTTCTCTCAGTCTCTAGGGCTGAGCAAAGGTCCCAGCTGCAAATTGGGTGCACGAGTTGCCCCCCACTATGGAGACTTCTGGGTTGGCTGCTACTGTGCGGATTGCTTGGGATGAAGGAACCACTTGGCAGAGGAGTATTCAGGTGCTGGAAGGTCTGCGGCTGGGTAAAACAAAGTAAAAGGGAGTAATGCTCTGTGTGTGCCACCCTCCTGTACCCATGGCCCAGCCTCTATGCCTGTGTGCAGCTGTACAGCACACAGCATGGGGCCCTGGGCTGTGAGGAACCTGGCCTGCAGGGTGGGAAGTGGGTGGAATTGCTAGCAGCAGAGTGCTATCAGGAGAAGGTATTCTTCCAACCTTCCTTTAGAAGAGAAAGGATGCTTGAGGTGGAGCTTCCGTCAGCTAGGCTGGACAGCAAGTGTCCACAGAAGGTGCAGGTCTGGTCCAAAGCAGGAGGGAAGGCACCCTGGGGAGGAATCTTAACCTGTTGATGCACCATAGTAGTCCACCTCCTGTGAAGAAAAGAGAGAGGTGGCTCTTTACATGGTATTTTAGCTACTTGAACTCCATTTGAAATGCAGCAGAGTGGATCTGGCTCCAAGGGAGAGGTCTATCCCGGTAGATGCATCCTGAGAATTGTGGTTCTCTTCAGCAAGCAAATGCCACTTGGGAACTTGTGTCCCATGCGGTTACTCACCAAACTGCTTCCTGCCACAGGCAGCTGCGCTTCTGAGGCACACAGCTTCAGAAAAAGCAGACTGCAATAACTATCCATATCCTGCTCTCCACCCATTTCCAGCTGCAGATTGTGTTGCATGGTGCTGTGTTTATCTGGTACAGATAATGAAAAAGATTGTATGCATATCTGTGGCCTGTCTCCAGCGTGGCAGTGGGAGGGAAGGTGCTCCCTGCCCCCTTGCCCTGCTGTAGAGCCTCCTCCCAATGCCTCTCATTGCTTCTGCTGCTGCCCTCTCTAAATGCCTTTGACTACATTGTTAGCCTTGACTTAATGCCACATAGACACTTTAAGGAAAAAAGAATCTGCTCCATTACCAGGTCCAGCTGTGTCAGTGGGCGACAGAAACAAATAAACATAACTGGAAAATGCATAGTGCTTGACTCTGTTCATTTTTAATAGTCAAACCAGACATCCTTTCAAAATGTCTTACTAACTAATATTTGTGTCCTAATGTATCTTTCTAGCTCTTGAAATACACTCGAGTGAAAAATGTGGAAGACTTTGCTGCATGTCTGCATTTTGGAGGTGAAACAAACACCAGTGTTGAATAACCTCTCACTGCATCCCGAGCCCTTAAACACTGTGGAGCATTTGCAGTTTGCCTGTGCCAGATCCACCAGTCTGAGCTGGCACGAGCTGCCCTATCCTCACTGTGTCAATATCAAGTGAAGATAGCTGTTGACTTAACAGTTTGTGCCTCTTCTCCCACCCAGGTCTTAGACTTCAGCTGCAACATAAAGGCTATTTGGGGAACTGGAGCAGATAAGTTACCAGCTCAAGAAAAGCTCATGCAATGACTGAATGCTGTTGTGCTGGGTGAAGGTTACAAGAATGTGACAATACTCACCTTCAGTCTGGGAGGACAGAAACTGAGCAAGGTGCTATGCCAGGATGCTGAGCATCACGATGCTTTTTTTCTTACTCTGCAGGGTCTCCAGAACCTTTGCAAACATTAGTGAGCTAAACCATGTCCCTGCTTGAACGGTAGCAATCAGTGGCTAAAAGGCTCACTACCAAGTCCTCTTAACCTGCGTGCATTTGTTCTCATCATCCTCGTGTAATATAATCTCTGTCTTCCTTCTTTCCACATAAGCACAGAAGTATTTGGCAAGCGCATTTCCCTTTTTCTATCATCTAGCATCTTTTAGGCTTTTGAAATTAATCAGGCAGTCTCTACAAATTCAGTTTCTGGTCCACTGAAGAGTTTAAGCTTCCAGTAGCTCTCTAGTAACTTGTTAGCTCACTGTATAAGCAAATCTCCAGTAGTGGGTGGCAATTGTCAGACCTGAGCTGTGCTCAGTGTAAGTATGTGAAGGAGTGGGCTGTTGCTACAGGAGGTGGCTATAAGCCTCACTGGGATGTCAGCTAGGTGCCCGTTCCCCTCCAGCTCCTGCGGAGAGGTTTGGAGACATGCAGCAAAACCAGGAAAGCCTGCAGAGGCACTGCTGGTGTTGGACTGTTCAACCAGAGCCAAGCCAAGCAGGAGGGGCAGTCTGAAGCATGTGACAGACCAAACAGATGAGACTGGCAGGAGAGAGCATACCACCTTTGCCTACACAGTGAGCTAGGAAGAAGCAGGAGCGAAGTGCCAAGCACCAGCTGCTCACCTAACAGGCCATGGGCTGCATCAGCACCATCCTCCCCCCTCAGTCACTTTGGGGGGAAATGCTGCTGGTGGTGCTGTGCTGCTATTTGTGCAGAGCTGGTCCCCAGTGGAGACAGGCTTGAGCTGCCTGGCAGCTCCCCACAATGCTGTCCTGTTTTCTTGGGTCATTGGTGTGGAAAGAAACTCAGCCCCCAGTGACCCTGGCTGTGAGCTCTGCTGTGACCACAACAGTGCTGCCCTTGCTGCTGCTGGTGATTTTCCTTCTGTACACAGAACTTCCCAGGCTCTCGCTACTCAAATTGCCCTTGGGGATGGATTGAGGCAGTGTAAAGACACGTGCCAGCAGCAGCTCTGGAAGAACCAGTCAGAATAGACAGCAACCAAAACTTCCCAGGACAATAAGGCAAATGAAACAGCTTACAAGATTGTTTATCATAAAATATCTGAGCTGGTTCCTTTCATGGGGTGAAGTAAAGATGTTAAGGCCCATGGGACTAAGCTCTTGAATCCCCAGTTTCTGCCAGCAAGCTCTTCTCTTGCAGGCACATGAGCATTTCTGCTGCTGCTCATGGCCCAGGTATAGAACTCGGGAGAGATGAAGGTATTTTAGGGTGTTAAGCTCTAAGGAAGTGGTTTCCAGGAGGATGGAGCACTGCAGTCCTGCCCTGTCAGTGCCTTTATTGCATCCACTTGCCTCTGCGGGGTAACCAGCATCTCTCTAAACACCTGGGGCATTTGCCATGAGCTGCTGGGAACACCTTATGTGGGACCAGGGCTTTCCTCACTCCTGCCTTAGAGGGGCCAGCCTGGCACAGTCCCAGCTGAGAGGAGGGCAGAGGGCTGTGACAGCCCAAGGATTCCCAGCGATACGTGCACTGGGAGCCACAAGAGGAGAGAGATGCACGCTGCTCAGTGAGGAGAGCTGCCCACAGGCACTGCCAGAGCTCTGGGCTCAGCTCTTCCCTCCAGAAGGAGCTAGCTGCAGTGTCTGTGAGGAGAACGAGTTAGCGACGTGGCTGGGAGGGCAAAGGGCAGTGGAAGCTGGCAGGAGTCACAGCTTTGACACCACAGCCTGTCTTCTCACAACCACTGAGAAATGCAGAGAACAAGGGATGCTGATGGTCCTTCCTACCTAGGGGCAAGCAGTCAATACTCTCCTGCCACCTCTACAGCATGTCTAGTGCCTGTTTGCCCTCTGAGTGTGAGGGATCAGGGAGGAGAAATGTGGAGCTGTAGAGGAGGGACAATCGGGCAAGAGAGCACTGATGGGGCATTTATCCAGGAGCCTGAGTCCCCTAACTCGCTCAGTGCCACTGTTGTCCACAGGCACCTTTTTAGAGCACTGCAAAGGTTTTATGGGTGGGTGCTGGAATGTGTTAAACTGGACAGAGGGGATTTATGTTGCTGGTTGTCCATACAGCTCTTGCCCCCGTGTTTTGCTTTGTCTTGGAGTAGGATGGAGGGAGCAGCAACCACCCGAGGCACTGCTCTGAAGCAGCCTGAGCAGGAGTCAATACAGGCTTACTTCTATGTGTTTGGAAGTGGTGGTGGAGCTCCAGCAGGGATGAGGATGTGTTACCATCACCTGTGAGCTGTGAGACAGGCAAAGGAACAGCATGACACTTCCCAGGACCAGTCCTGAGGGGCCACAGCAGAGAGCAGAGCTGTGCACTCTCATAAGATCCCCCCGCATAAGAGTAGGACATAAAACTAAAAGTTCGCTCTACAAAGAAGCAGTTTTATTATCTGTGGTCATCCCTCTGCTTTCCACAAGATACTCAGGTGACATCTCCCAGACATATTCAGCACTCATCGTTGCAGGTGCAGTGCTCCTCTGCCCACTTGCCCAAGATAGAACGATATTATCACTGACAGGCAGACCAGCAGCCAAACTCCTCCCTCTGCTACCACACCACACCCCAGAGATCCAAAGTGCCAGACAACCGGAGGGAGGAACAAGTCAACACACTCCCCCCACCACACCCCCCCCCCAGGTGGGCCATGCGGGGGGGAAAAAGCCGGCTGGGGAGCCAAGCTGTGGGAGATGGGAGCAGCCAGGCCAGGAGCCCAGCTGTACAGCAGGGACTCAGAGACAGCTTCATGTTCTGGCCTGGGGAACTCCATTTGCCACGAAGAGTTAGGGAGTAACTGCAGTAGCCTGCAATAGCCAGGCTCCTCACACAGCACATACAGTGCATAAAACAAAACAAAAAAACCCACAACCAAACTCCCAACGCCCCTACAAGCAGAGTCAGTTCTAATACAGGTGGCTTCTTGCCCCACCTCCAAGTTACTGTGGAAGGTGGGGGCACCTGGTAGTGGTCTCCTCATCAGGTTCCACCCAAGGCTGGCCAGGCCCTGGGTGAAAACCAATCAGGAGGGGCTTTCTTGCCTGGTTGTGGACATCATCCATATGCCAAACCTCATTCAGGGCTGGGGGTTTCACCCCAGCACTTCAAGTGCCAGAAAAACAGCTAGTGTTTGAGGTGACACAAAAGTGACAAGATCTTTCCTGAAAGCTTCTGTTTCTGGTTTTGTGACTTTATTTT